CATAAAATTCCAGTCGAATTACAGTTTAGACCGTGCCAGATCGGATGAAACCGTGTAAAAAGGTGGGATTGAATTCGTTTTTCTAGATCGTGTTAAGTTTAAACTGTGTTGAAACAGAATTAATTGAGTGTGTATGTATATTTTGTTTTTTATTGTACTCGGTTTAACAAGCTTCCATTCGATTTTTCCTTTCGTGAACGAAGAGATCTTTTAGCCTGACAGATCTTTCTATTTTTCCATTGGCTCAGAGTATTTTTACAATGAATTTTTCCAATAGAATTATGATAGTATATACATAAATAAATATAAGAAATATAGGAAATTAAAATAAGAAATATAAGAAGTTAAAATAAGAAATATAAGAAGTTAAAATAAGAAATGTAAGAAATATAATAAATAAAAATAATAAATATAAGAAATAAATACAAGAAATAAATATAAGAAATATAAGAAATATAAGAAATATAAGAAATACAAGAAATATAAGAAATATAAGAAATATAAGAAATATAAGAAATATAAGAAATAAATATAAGAAATATAAGTAAATTTGTTGACGGTTTCAATTATTAAAATACATTATTATTATTATTAATACATACATTTCGCATGATCTCGAAGCAGAACGCGAACATAACCCCGCAAGTTGATCCCCAAAGGCCCGCTTCCGCTCGAAAACATGCGCGCTGATCGAAAAAAAAAGAAGAAGAAAAAAGAACAATCGAAACGGGGCGCGCACGTGTTGCAATTAAGCGAAGCGGTTCGCGTGCGATTCATTGATCCCCGTCGTTGGATCGCGGTGGTTGACAGAAGATAACCGAGAGCCCTTTGCTCTAGGAGGGGGGAGGGAGGGCAAAAGGGACCTTCCAGCGAGTGGTTATGGGGGAGAAAATTCTTCGTCGAGCGCGGGGGCGGGACGGGGCGGGGTAAAGAGACCGTCGACGAGCCGAACCAGAGAAAAGTTCTCNTGCGGCCAATATACATATTACGTGCAGCCTGTTGATTTATTGAATAAGCCAGTAACAGTCGCGCCGTATACAGCGTCGCACGCGAGTCGCGAGGTGATTGAGCTTCGTCGTCGTCATCGTCGTCGTCGTTCGTCGTTTGTCGTCGTACGGTCGTCAGAACTCATTTTTGGATCATTGCTGTTCACGATATTCGTGACTGAAAGGAAACAATTTCCGACGGCTGCCGCACGAAGACAGGATTCTCGAGGATCCACGGTGACGAGGGGACTGGTTCTATCGCGGTGAGCACTGATTTTTCATGGTTTAACTCTTTGCGTTATAGTGTCGCGACACGAGTTCGTTATAGTAGTCGTCTAAATGCGAGTGGTTTTCGTTCGTTTTAAATCGGTATTTCAATCAGTGTTATTATTGTAATTAATATTGATTTTTACGAATGAGTGAGCGCTGATTTTTCTTTGCGTTATGGTATCGCGACGGATTCGTTATGGCAGTCATCTAAATACAAATGTTTTTTTAAATCAATATTTCAAACACACAGTATATTGTTCTAATTAATATTGACTTTTACAACTGAGCGAGCATTAATTTTTCTTTGCGTGATAGCATCGGGACCGATTCGTTACATTTTTCTAAATATGTCACTTGCTCGTTTCTTTTATTATTATTTATTTTATAAATATTTTTACATACTTATATTATTATATAAATGCTTTTATATTTATTATATATTTTTATATACTTTCATTACTATGTTTTATATAAAATTTTATATACTATTTATTTTACTATTGTTTGAAGTACCGAATGAATCATTATTTAAAATAGCAAATAAACTATTACTCGTAATACCAAATATAAATTATCATTTAAAATACCAAATAAATTATCATTTATAATATCAAATAAATTATCATTTATAATATCAAATAAATTATCATTTAAAAT